AGAGAAAGTCAGCTCTGAAGATCTCCTTTGCAGGGAGGGGAGTCTTTGCAGGGAGGGGCTGAATTGTTGCTGCCAACAGTAAGTATTGTCACCATTGTCATGAGTGGCTTTTCTGTGCAATTCCCTTCAAGGTATATGATTCCAGCATCCGGCTCAGCCCTAGAGCAAGTGCTCTCCGTGCAGTACAGTGTGATAACCCCCCTGCTGAACCCCCTCATCTATAGTCTGAAGAACCAGGAGGTAAAGGTGGCTCTGAGGAGGATGCTGGCCAGGAAGTCCAGGCTTCCCTTGTAGCCCAATGCCCCTGCCTCAGCAGGAGGAAAAGTTGTGGGGAGAAAAGGACGGAGGAAGAGCTATCACCACTCAGCTACCTCCGCATTCATCTCTCTCCAAAACAGAGACCTTAGTTTCTCTTCCTCCAATGCCCTGCTGTCAGCCAAAGGCAATGAGGAAACTGTCACAGAGCAGGTAACACCCATCAGATGGGGCCCAGTCATTATACAAGAAAATCCTCAGGGCATCCCTGGCCATTTCTATAGCTAATGCTTTTTCCTCTCATTTCTTGCCTTTTTTTACCCCTCTTCTTCCTGCCTCTCCCTCTCCCTTTTACTTATGTCTATACACAAAAGGTAAATCAACCTATCAGACCACTAGCAAATGTCCTTCTGCATTCTTGGATAGTCCCATCTTGGCCCTGTGACCCAACTCCTCTTTTGTTCTCATGCCAAAAAGTCCTTTTAAAGATCTACATCCCATAACAACTTAGAAAGAAATCAAATAGACTGGGCGTGGTGGCTCACACCTGTAGTCCTGGCACTTTGGGAGGCTGAGGTGGGCAGATCACGAAGTCGGGAGATCAAGATCATCCTGGCCAATATGGTGAAACCCTGTTTCTATTAAAAACACAAAAATTAGCCTGGTGTGGTGGTTCATGCCTGTAGTCCCAGCTACTCGGGAGGCTGAGGCAGGAGAATTGCTTGAACCCGGGAGGCAGAGGTTGCAGTGAGCTGAGATCACGCCACTGCACTCCAGCCTGACAACACAGCAACACTCTGTCTCAAAAAAAAAAAAAAAAAGAAAGAAAGAAAGAAATCAAATAAAATAAGAGTGTCTCCTCCTGTCTTCATCCTTAACAAGTAGCAGCTAAAGTAGAGCCTAAGCCAGGTGTGATGGCACATCCCTGTAGTCCCAGCTACCCGAGAGACTGAAGCAGGAGGATCATTTGAGCTCAGGAGTTCAAGGCTATAGTGTGCTGTGCTCACACCTGTGAATAGCCACTGCCCTCTGGACTGGGCAATGTTGTGAGACCCCATCTCTAAATAAACAAATAAATAAAATAGCACCTAGCAAACAGTGTATCCTTAATAACCATTTGGTGACAAATCAAGCAGTGAAGGAAGGAATGAATATGGATCACCTGAAGTATTTTCTCTTGCATGATCTCAGGAAATGGGAAGAGGGGAGTGTCCCCCTCTAAAGTATAAGGGTCTTCAAAGCAAAACCTCTAATAGCTTCTATATCCCCAATATCTAATACCTCCTGTCACCTAATAGGCTCTTAATTAGTGTTCAATAAATGAAAAAAGTGGAGGATGAGAGAGAAGAAGTGGGAGAAGAAACATAAAAAGAAATATTTGAGGCCAGGCACGGTGGCTCACGCCTGTAATCCCAGCACTTTGGGAGGCTGAGGTGGGTGGATCTCCTGAGGCTAGGAGTTCAAGACCAACCTGGCCAACACGGTGAAACCCCATATCTACTAAAAATACAAAAATTAACTGGGCGTGGTGGTGGGCACCTATAATCCCAGCTACTTGGGAGGCTGAAGCGGGAGAACTGTTTGAACCAGAGAGGCAAAGGTTGCAGTGAGCTGAGATTGCACCACTACACTCTAGTCTGGGCAACAAAGAGAGACTCCATCAAAAAAAAGACAAAAAAGAGGTCAGGCACAGTGGAGGGCAGATCACCTGAGGGCAGGAGTTCAAGACCCGCCTGGCCAACATAGTGAAACCCCATCTCTACTAAAAATACAAAAATTAGCTGGGCTTGGCAGCGCATGCCTGTAATCCCAGCTATTCAGGAGGCTGAGGCAGGAGAATTGCTTGAACCCAGGAAGTGGAGGTTGCAGTGAACCAAGATCCTGCCACAGCACTCCAGCCTGGGCAACAGAGCAAAACTCTATCTCAAAAAGAAAGAAAAAAATATTTGATTTTATCTAATACAATTCCTGTCTTCATAACAAGACAGGTGTCAGGGAAAAGTGCAGGGAGGAGAAAGCAGGATAAGAGGAGAGAACAAAACTCTGTATTGCTGTGAACCATTTCGAGTCTTTCTCATGCAGAACTCAGTAAATGGTCTGCTCTCTGAGAGCCACTCCCTGGAGCCTCCCCGCTTCCACATTAGTCTGGATGACTTCAGACCTTTGCTTGGCTTAGAGCTTCATTTTAGGCCTAAAGGAAAGATAAGGAGGTAGAGAAAGCAAAACAGATGCTCAGTTGCCATGCTGCCTCCTATGCGGCTCTCGAGAAAGTTCTCAGGAAGAGAACAGCAGTCTCCTGTCCTGCTTCTACCCAAATGCCAAGAGAACTGCATCTATCAAGCCTGCTTCTATGCCCAAAGAAAAAGAAAAGTTATCACGTGAGGTGATGATATGTTAATGAGCTTGATTGTGGTGATCACTTAAGTGTATACATACAACAGAACATCAGGTTGTACACCTTCAACATTTACAGTTTTAATTTGTAAAAAAGGAGGAGGAGGAGAAGGTGAAGAAGACTACTGGTGTGTATGTCATGAAGCTGATCCAGCCATACCTCACTGGATAAAAGAGGCAACATCCCCTCCAAATATAGATTTATTGATTCATTTTCTCAAAAGAATTCATAATTCAGTGGACACCATATTAGACATTGAAATTAAAAAATGTATAGGCCGGGCACTGTGGCTCACACCTGTAATCCAAGCACATTAGAAGGCCGAGGTGGGAGTTTAAGACCAGCCTGAGCAACATGGTGAAATCCCATCTCTACTAAAAATTCTAAAATTAGCTGGGCATGGTGGCAGGCACCTATGCCCAGCTACTCCAGAAGCTGAGGCAGGAGAATCGCTTGAACCCAAGAAGCGGAGGTCACAGTGAGCCAAGATCATGCCACTGCACTCCAGCCTGGGCAACAAGAGCAAACCTCTGTCTCAAAAAATATATATACATAAGCTAGTGTGGGGAAAATAAGTACAGACTAGGAACAAGAGAGAGTTTGCCTGAGAATTCCAAATGCAGACCCCAAATGCCTTTTGTAGTGTTGCTTGAACCAAAGAACATGGCATTTTGTTTATTTGATTTAATACATGAATTATTTTACAACTCAACATACTACAATTAAACTGAGTAGAAACACAGAAAAACTGCTCTGCAGTACTAGTACAGAGTAGGCATCTATAAACATTTGTATCATAACCCACTGTAACCAATGAATCATTGAAAAAAAGAAAAAGATGTCTTTCATGCCAGTTCCCTGGCTCCTATCTGTTCTTGATCTTCTGACCTCAGGCTGAGGTTCTCTCTACAGATAAATCTCTCACTGTCAGTTCCTTCAGCAACGGCTCCTGAAGATCATGAACTTATGTACGGTGTACTTGCCCTCACAGGTGAACTTTCCTGTCTTCTCTGTGGGATGAAGGCCAGGGCTGTGGAGCTGAGCAACAATGCGAATGTCATTCTCAGTTCATTCAGAGTGTGACAAATTAAACTGTAGTTTGGAATGCTGGATTGTTAAAGCAGGAAGTGATCTCAGAAAACTATCTAGACCAAAATCCTCGTTTTAAGATGAGGAAACTGAGGTACAGAGAATGGAGATGACCTGCCCAGGTTCAGACCATCAAAAAGTAGCAGAAACAGATTTTAGGACCCAAATGTCTTGATTCTTCTTCTTTAACATATCCCATAATTATTTAAATGAATGAAGTCCTGCAAACATTCTCCTTAAAAACAAGTAAAGCACAAGAAGAAATAATGGAGTAGAGAGTTCACACCAAAAGGTCCCATGTTCTCAGATTCTTCAGCATCACTGTCAAGACCCCTGTTCTCTCTCTGGTTTCCAGAGACAGGAAGAGTTCCTTTCACAGCTCCTCATGAAGGATAAAGAAATCCTTCAACCCCCTCAAGTCACCCATTTCAGATTCTTGGGTTCCCACCCATGCTCTTCCTTTTCCCACCCCACATCTCCACTTGTCAAAATCCCACACAGACTTTAAAACCAGCCTAAATGCTCTCCCTTTCAGGAACCCTTTCTTGATTCCTTTTCCCCAACATCCCCTCCAAATATAAATTATCTTTCCTTTTGTGAATGCCCAGTGCACATTTCTAACCTCTCTCATGATGCTTATAACTCTCTTCCTTATATTGTAACTATTTATTAATGTTTATCTTATCTCTTGCATTAGTCCTTGAGGGAAAAGGCCATTCAGCCAACTTTGTGTTTTTGTTTTTTGTTGTTGTTTTAGTTTTTTGAGATGGAGCACCCAGGCTGGAGTGCAATGACATGATCTCAACTCATTGCAACCTCTGCCTCCCAGGTTCAAATAATTCTCCTGCCTCAGCCTCCTGAGTAGCTGGAATTACAGGCACCTGCCACCACACCTGGATAATTTTTGTATTTTGGGTAGAGACACGGTTTCGCTGTTGGCCAAGCTGGTCTCAAACTCCTGACCACAAGCGATCTGCCCACCTCAGCCTTCCAAAGTGCTGGAATTACAGGAGGGAGCACCACACCCAGCCAGTATTCGGCCAACTTTGGATGCCTCTACAGTTCCTTGGATAGATTAGGTGATCAATAAAAGTTTGTTGCATTGAGTTGGTGCAGAAAGTAACCTTCACCTTTCTATTGTAAATTCAGTCTACTTCTTCTTCAGTAGAGACAGAAGGTGGCTATGACCTATGGCTTCGGTGTCTACCTACTCATCCTATTTCTTCCCCTTCCCTCCAGGGGGAAAAAAAAATACAGCCAGTGACTTCAAATTGGGATCTTTATTCAAGACAGAAGTGAAATCTGTGCTGTAGTGAAAGTGCCATCGGGGGCACTGAGCAAGGGTCTAGAGCTCAGTGCACCACTCAGGCATTTCCGGAAAACAGTCCTCAAGAGTTCAGTGATGTCACTACAGCGCCCAAGGCTCAGAGACAGATAAGCTTTGGGGGAACAGAAAGAAGCAAACTGAGGTGGCATTAGGAAAGAGGCATTCCAGGAATGTGGAGTGGGCAGGGATGCCAAGGACAGCAGATGCTCACAACTTCTCACAAAGCCACTGTTCCAGCTTCTCAGTGCAGAGGGCTTTATGGGCCAACCTGATAATGGAGAAAGGGACAAGGTGAGTTAGCTGACTGAATCTTGGCTTGAATTTCCATCTAGATTCATTCCCAGGAAGGCTGAAGTAAAAGAGTGTGGATGAGAATTACAGAAAGACATTCCTGGCCTGATGTCAAGGGACACAAGCCATCAAGTGGAATACAGTCCATAAAAAAATAATCCAAGAAAATTGTAGCGTTAAAAAAAGAGATGCAATGAGACCAACAGCTTGCTTGAGGGCATAGAACTAAGCAAGTAGAATTAGATGTCCAAATCTAAGTGAAAGGAGGCCTGGGTCTGAGCCCTCCATTAGGCAACCCCTTATTAGGAAAGTTGCTACCAAGGAGTGGCGCAAGAGAGGCTTAATAACAGAAACCTGAGTCTCTAGGTAAGTTTTGTTTCAGAGACTGTATTCTAGATTAAATGACCAAGAGATAGGGTAAGAGGAAAGGGGTGCTGGGCTAACGGGGTAAGGAGAAGGAGGATGGGGAAATAATAGAATAAGGATTCACCAGTAGTCAATTCCTTTAATATCCAGGATCTTCTTGGCACACATTATGTCATCAGTAATGTCATCGTCCAGGAACTCTGGCAGGAGTTACAGGGAAAGGAATGAGAGAACTGAGAAGTATTACCCAGAAAGGCACTGAGTTCCCCTAACCCCTGGATCTAGTGGGTTCTCTAAACTCAAGGCTTGTGCCTGTTGTCTTTTTATCTGAAAGGACCAATGTGGTAATGTCTAACCCTGGGTAGGGACTTCCTTCATTTCCCTGGGATATCTCTGGAGGAATCATCAGCTTCATCAACTGACTTACCCTGAAAATGCAGAGAATAAGATTCCAAGACTCTCAGACTGCTCAGATTGTCTACCCCCGAACCTCAGGGAACTATCTGGGGATTTGATGACCATGAAGAATCCAAACAGCTTCTTACCCAGTACTGCCAATTCAAGTCCCACAATTTTTGTAGAGCCCAGCCAAGGCAACGAAGCCCAAGGTCTGCTTGGCACTAAAAAGGAGATTACCCCAAGGGCAGGCCTCAGAAAAACAGAGAAAGAGGGTTATAGAGGCTACTCACTGTCACAGGAGATGTCGCAGATATTCCTTGACTGAGGGACCTGGCTGCTCTTGCACCAAAGCTTATTACTGATCTGGAAGAGTCCATATTCTGTGCTTCCATTGCTTTCAACTATGGCTTGTGTGTCATAACCACTGGTGTGAAACATGGTACAGATGACTGAGGGAAAGATGAGAAAGAGATACCACAGAGATGTCCAGGATCCGCATAAAGGAGGAATTGTAATTCTAAGACATAAAAGTGGTTTCCAGCCAATCTCCAAAGATGGCAAAGGAGAATTCCAAAAAAAATCAGACAATAAGAGAAAGAAAGGATAGGAAAATAAATGGGGCCAGGTGCAATGGCTCACACCTGTAATCCCAGCACTTTGGGAGGCTGAGGCGGGTGGATCACAAGGTCAGGACTTTGAGACCAGCCTGGCCAACATGGTGAAACCCTGTCTCTACAAAAAGTACAAAATTAGCCAGGCATGGTGGTGGGTGCCTGTAATTCCAGCTACTTGGGAGGCTGAGGCAGGAGAATCACTTGAACCGAGGAAGCAGAGGTTGCAGTGAGCTGAGATTACACCATTGCACTCCAGCCTGGGCAACAAGAGTGAAACTCCATCTCAAAAATAAATAAATACATACATACATGCATACATACATACATGAAATAAGCGTATGCAAACGAGCAGAAAAGAGGATGATTAGATAATTAAGTAAAAGTGGACGAGCGAAGTGGAGGAAAGAGGGAATGAAGGAGAGAATCACATGAGGAATGGATGAAACAAGGAAGCAGGGAACTCACATTCAGGCAAAGCGATGCCTCCATAACCATCTATGTCTTTCAGCAGCTGGGACAGCTCACATTTTGTAAATTGCTTGGCCGGGATGGCAGGGAACAGGATGCCCACCAGGAACAGAGGGACAAACGACCTCATTTTGGCGGCCCCCAAGAACCTGAAATGGAAGCATCACTCAGTTTCATTTCTTTATATTCATGCAGAAAGCCTCAGGGGCTCTGGCACCAAGCCCTACAACTAGGAAGAGAATGAAGAGAGACTGGTCATGCCAAGACAGAAACACTGAGCCTGCCAGCTTCCTTCTGTAATTCACCCTACTTTTCCTTTCCCTCTCCCAGTATCTAGTCCATACCAGGTATTGTTCTCTGCCCAGAAAGAGTTCAAACCTTGATCCAGCTTCCCATTTGGCTTTGTTTATCCCTTTGTTTTTTGTAGGGTTGGTTCTAGGAAGCACTGTCTCTGGTTACTTTAGGAACAATGAAGGCCATGGGGGCAATATAAGTGAGGAATCAGAAAATACAATAAAGTTCTATGGCCAGCTTCCCCCTCCCCCGTAGAGACACACAGAATGTGGAGAGGGGGTGTATGTCATCGCATGCCGCAGTCCCAGGATCAAAGCTGGCACTTGTCCAACCAACCCAGCCATGTAACAAAGCCCAGAATGAGTTCTGAGCTCATGACTGAAGGCTCAGAAACAGAAATAGAATATGGGAATGTAGACTACAACAATCAGATATAACTTGGATCCTAAGACTTCCTACTTAAGGAAAATGCATAACTGAAAAGCCTGTATGAAAGCGTCTAGGCCAGGCACAATGTCTCACACCTGTAACCCCAACACTTTGGGAGGCTGAGGCTGGTGGATCACTTGAGCCCAGGAGTTTGAGACCAGCCTGGGCAACATGGTAAAACCCCATCTCTACAAAAAAAAAAAATAAATAAAAATAAATAAATGCAAAAATTAGCTGGGCATGGTGGCATGTGCCTGTAGTCCCAGCTTCTTCAGGGACTAAAGCAGGAGAACATTTGAGCACAGGAAGTCGAGGCTGCAGTGAGCCATGTTCACTCCATTGCGCTCTATCCATCCTGGGAGACAAAGTGAGACCCTGCCTTTTTTTAAAAGAAAAAAGAATCTAGCTATTATCAGATTCCCCACCCTTAACCACTTCTACGATAAATAACCAAATACTATATTGGCATTGAGACATTACATAAATCTAAGACTAATAACTTGTAGACAACCTTAGAGTTGGCCACGGAAAGTGGGAAAGACGCAAGCCAGTGGAAAGACTGGACTTCAAGGCTGAACAAGCTTATGTCTGGAACCTCTATAAGGTCAGTGCCCCTAAGCAAGTAGAGCTAAGGATACTAGTTCTGAATAGTTCCTTTAATTTGCTGGCATCAAGCTTCATGTTACGGTGACAAGTAGCTGTAAGCTCCTTCATGCCACTATTCATCTTCTTTATCCTCATCTCTAAACCTGACCTGATTTCTTCTTTCTTCTTCCTTTTTTTTTTTTTTTTTTTTAGACCAAGTCTCACTCTGTCACCCAGGTTGGAATGCAGTGGCGCGGTCTTGGCTCACTGCAACCTCTGCCTCCCAGGCTCAAGTGATTCTCCTGCCTCAGCCTCCCAAGTAGCTGGGACTACAGGCATGTGTAACCACGCCCGGCTAATTTTAGTATTTTTAGTAGAGACAGAGTTTCTCCATGTTGACCAGGATGGTCTTGAACTTCTGAGCTCAGGCAATCTGCCTTCCTCGGCCTCCCAAAGTGCTAGGATTAAGACATGAGCCACTGCGCCCAGCAACTTGATTTCTTATGTTTCAGGGAACATTTATCTCAGTCAATCTGTTTAAGACTTACAAAGTGATGGTCTTCCATATCATTATCTCCTACATGTATTCAGAGTCAGGGGAAAGTCCTCTCAGTTTAATCCTGTCTTCTATACCATGGATAACCAGTATATGAAGTGGCAGGAGTGAAGGGAAGGTGGAGGATCTTGGTGTGCCAGGAGGGATGAGCAGAAAGTCCTGATAGCAAGAGATGCATGTTCAGAAACACAGCAAAAGTGGAGCCACTCCATTTCTCCACATTCCACCCAGAGGCACTGCAAGGGTACACGACAGGAATGGGAATTCTATCACGCTAAGCTTTGTTGAGAATATGGCTGAGGGTGAACTTGAACCATGTGGGGGAGGGACAGATAAGAAAAGCTTGTGCTGAGGACTAGTCCTTCCAATAGTGGAGTCTTGTGTAAAATGCCTCCTGCCCTAGGCTATGGACTAAGTACCTGTGACAGAGTAAAATGGTGGGCCAGGGTCTCAAGAATCACAGGGGTTTTCTACACTTTCAGCCAAGTCAAGACCTAAGGCAGCTGCCTGCTTGCCTGTAATTTGATTATACCTCGGCCCTTCGCTATAAGCAATAAAAATCAGCATACAGGTCAAGAATCACAACTAAGTGCAGAAAAGAAAATAAACACGCCTCCGGCAAAAGGAACCATTATTTCCCTAGAAATGTTTGTAAAATAGGATACCTGGGAGTCATCTGAAAAAGAGGATAGAAAGTGTCTAATGGAAACAACTGCAAACATCCAGAGAAAGATGCAGCCTCTTGGAGATTGTCCAAAGGAGAACAATACACAATGATCACAGCACTGAAAGAGGAAGTATGTGGAAAGAAGTTAAGCACAGCTCGTGGAAGAAAGCTCCCACTCAGCTCTCCCTGTCCAGGAAGAAAGCTCCTGCCAAAATCTCCCTTTCCAGAGAGGTTTACTCAGGGTGCTCTGCATGGAGGTTGAGAGCTGAATCAAGATGGTGACGAGGCATTTACAATAAACTTACCTGGGTTTTGTTAAAAATAAATTAAAAATTACGTTCGTTCTCTCAGATGCTGTGGGAAAAAACCCAGGTTTCTAAAACCAGAAATCGCCTTTTTGGAGATGAACAAAATAAAAATGTTATTTCTAAAAATAAATTTCTTTATTTATAAAATAAAAATTTCAGGCCAGGCATGGTGGGGTCGCACCTGTAATCCCAGCACTTTGAGAGGCCAAGGCAGGTGGATTACTTGAGGTCAGGAGTTCGAGACCAGCCTGACCAACATGGCAAAACCCCATCTCTACTAAAAGTACAAAAATTAGCCGAGCAAGCTGGCAGGAGTCTGTAATCCCAGCTACTCAGGAGGCTGAGGCAGGAGAATCACCTGAACCCAGGAAGTGGAGGATGCAATGAGCCAAGACCGCACCATTGCACTCCAGCCTGGGAAACAGAGCAAGACTCCATCTCAAATAATAATAATAATAATAATAATAATAAAAGTCTTTATTTCTAAAAATAAAGAAATTGAAAGCATGTGTTTCAAGGCACGTTTTCCATGTGAAACTGTAGTCTATAGGTGAGTTGGCGTTTCTAGACAGAGCCGAGGCCTACCATTTAGAAGGAACACCCTGAGATCCACAGTAATAATGGCCATTACATCTTACAGTTAATATCCTCACCTTGTGCCTGCAGTGGCTCATGCCTATACTGCCAACACTTTGGGAGGCTGAGGCAGGAGGATCATTTGAGGCCAGGAGTTGGAGACCAGCCTGGGCAACATAGCAAGACTCTGTCACTACAAAAATATAAAAATTAGCCAGGCATAGTGGCACGTGCCTATAGCCCTAGCTACTCGGGAGTGGCACATGCCTATACTCCTAGCTACTGAGGTGGGAGGATTGCTTGAGCCCAGGAGTTCAAGAATGCAGTGGGCTTTGATTGTGCCACTCACTCTAGCCTGGGCAATAGAGCAAGACCCTGTCTCTATTTTGAAATACATTTATATCCTCATCTTGTTCTACTTTCTCTCATAATTCAGGAAAATTATCACTAGATAGACAATGATGCTAGATCTTGAAACCCAAATTTCATGCAAATGTTTAACCAAATTAAAGAGTTAATTAAAGCAATTAAGATTTAGAGAGGGAGTGATTTTTACTGGCATTTTTCTTTTTCAGCTGCTTGTCCAAAAGTCCCTACAAAGTTACTTAGCATTATAGATTCACATTCTATATCCCACAGGAAAGGCCTGCTTGCAATTATATGGGCTTATTTTGGGTTGCTATATTTGCATTACTATTTATATCACTGCTTTTATACTTAACTGAACCATAGATTCATTTGTGTGAATTGGGGATAGTATCAACCAAAAAATGCAATCATGGAAATATAAATTATAACACAAAAATGATTTTAAAAGATACTAACTAAATTTTACCTTTTTAACTGAATATTAGCAAAAAAAAAAACCCGATACGCATGTAATTACCAAGAAGCTAACAAAATTTCTATGCAAATTTTAATTGATTTTTCATTTTTAATTTATAAAATGTTTCTTTTTAAATAAACATATATTTACATAATTTTACATCAACACCTTTGATAGAATCCTACATCATATTTTTTGTTAACATGGTAGTTTTTCCTTTCCTTTTAGGAGTGGCTTCCCTTTCTTCCTCCTCATTTCTTCCCTGCCAAACATCATCCTGGCAACTCATATTAACAATCTACCACCCCATTCCCCATAATGTGTTTATTTCACACTGCATGCCTGTATCAAAACAACTTATGTACTCCATAAATATACACTATGATGTACCCTCCAAAATTTAAAAAACAAACAAGGGAAAAAAATCTACCATATCTTAGTCCATATTTGTATCCATTATTGTATTTATATAAATACATATTGTTTTGCTATTCATTTTAAATTTTTAATCCATCTGCAATTCTGTCTGGGTTTCGTCTTCTCTTCAACTTGTCATATTTGTCTATTCTGACACAAATACCTTATTGATTTCATTGCGGCAGCTTTTTGCTATGTTCTGCTGTCTGATATAACAAGTCTTCCTTGTTATCCTCTTTTTAAGAAAAGATTAATTAAACTTTTTATTTTCAAAAGTAATTTGGGAGGCCAAGGTAGGTGGATCACCTGAGGTCAGGAGTTTGAGACTAGCCTGACAAACATGGCGAAACCCTGTGTCTACTAAAACTAGGAAAATCAGCCAGGCATGGTGAAACAGGCCTGTAATCCCAGCTACTCGGGCAGGGGAATCGCTTGAACCAGGAAGCAGAGGTTGCAGTGAGGCGAGATCCTGCCATTGTACTGGGCAAAAAAGCAAGACTCCTTCTCATAAAAAAAAGGAAAAAAAAGTCATTTAAACTTACAGAAAAGTTGTAAAATATTATCATAAGCTCACATGTATCTTTCCTATCTAACCACTCACTGTCAATGTTTTGCCACATTTGTATGTTCTGTCTCATAAACCTATTCCAATTTATTCTTTCATGAAATTTTTAATATATTTTAATCAATTTTCACCAAAAGTCTGTTGAGACTTGAATTGGGATTACAACATACATAATCATACAGTCAATATACATAATAATTTTTGGAAAACTAACCTTTTATAATATTACATTTTAAATCTCAGGGTGTATGTAGTTTTCCTTTGTTCAGATTCTATTTTGTACATTTCACTAAAATTTTATAGTGTTCTTCATATGATTCAATGCCTTTTTTATTAAATTGTTTTCTAAATATTTGGCACTTTCAGTTGTTAATGTGAATGAGATATTTTCCCCTTTCCACTTCTAAGTGCTTATAAATAGTACAGAGAACAGATACTTTTTGCAACTGTATCTTCTACACAGCCATCTTGCCAAAATATTATAAATTCTAGTATTTTTTCACTAGCATTTGGGGGTTTCTAGGTTTATAATCCTACAATCTAAGAAAGTGATAGGTAGGCTCTTTCTTTTCATTATTTGTCTTCAAGCAAAGGGAAGCCACCACAAAAGCTATCTGCCTCTGCCATAGCTCAGGCCAGAAAATAATTAATGACAATAATAATAGTGTAATAGTAATATTCTCCCATAAGAGTGTAAAATCACTGGCCTGTTCTCACTCAGGCCTGAAGTTCATGCTAACATAACCACATCTAGTCAAGGAAATTCCAAGCTGAGAAAATAAACTAAATTGAGATGTGGAAGAAGCATAAGCAATCCTCCTGGGAGGTCCTTGAAATTTCCACAGATTAAGTTAACTAACTAGGAGCTCAGAAAACAATACCAAACACATCAACTAGATGCATTGACTCACGCCTGTAACCCCAGTGCTTTGGGAAGCCAAGGCAGGAGGATTGCTTGAGGCCAGTAGTTAAAGGCCAACCTGGACAACATAGTGAGACCCCATCCTTATTTCCCAAAAATTTAAAAGTTAGCCAGGCGTGGTGGCACGTGCCTGCAGCCCCAGCTACTCAGGAGGTTGATATGAGAGGATCATTTGAGCCCAGGTTACAATGAGCCACGATCATGCTACAGCACTCCAGCCTGGGCAACAGAGTGAAACTCTGTCCCTAAAAAGAAAATTACCAAACACAAAATGAACCATTATGAATCCAAGTGAGGAGAACCAACTCCCATCCATTGAAAAGAGCCACCTTGCCCAAGGGGCACATTTACTTCCCAGAAGCGGTTCACATCCAGTGGCTGGTTGATGTGGGTAGAGAAACTTGGCCCCTTTACCTCAATGGAGAACAATTTTTCACAGCCATCCCAGCTCCAGAGGCTCTTATGAAATCAACTGAAGCTCTGTTATGGCTACATCACAATTCACCTTCTTCTGGCCAGTCCTGTTTTCTTCAATCCTTCACCTCACAGGTGTTGAGACCACATGCACTTCCCAGTAAACTTCCTGCACGCAAATCTCCATCTCAGAGTCTGTTACCCAGGAAATCTGACCTGAAACAGTTGGTGTTGGAAGTAGTTCAAGGCAGCAAGCTCTAAAATGGGATTTGGAAACCCTGTGGAAATGGGCTGCCATTCTCCATGACAGTACACATGACCATGGTATGGTGTTATCTCTGATACACAGAATACATGAACCTGGGGAACCCAGGGGTACACATAAAACTGCCCTGTTCACCATCA